AGATACCACCTCACACCTGTCAGAATGTCTAAAATCAAAAACACCAATGACAATCTATGCTGGAGAGGATGTGGAGAAAAAGGAACACTCCTCCATTGCTCGTGGGAATGCAAAATTGTAAGACCGCTCTGGAAATCAGTATGGCAGTTGTTCAGAAAAAGGGGAATCAATCTACCTCAAGAGCCAGCCATTCCTCTTGGGTATATACCCAAACAGTGCATGTTCATACAACAAGGACATATGTGGGCCAGTACAAGACTGATCCATCCCCCTGAACATGGATGCCAATAAGGAGGCCTCTGCACTCCAGGGAGCCTCTGGAAGTGGATTAGCATTTTTCCCTGGTGTAAGAAGGGACTTTGAGAGCCCATCCCACATGAAGGGATGCACTCTGGTCCTGGACACATGGGGAAGGGCCCAGGCCCAGCACAGGAAGATTTGGTGGACCCTGTTGAGGGTCCTACTCTGCCTGGGGAGTGGTGGGTGGATGATGTGGGGGGTAGGTTCCTGGTGGGGGAGGAGGAATGAGAGTGAGGGGAGGGAGAGGGAGAAGGGACTTACAAGTGAAACAAGCCTGTTCCCTAACTTGAATTAATGAAAAAAAAAAGTTCAAAGAACAACAACAACAACAACAAAAAACTGTCAACAAATCCATCCCTTCTGGTGTATGCGGTAATGCCACTTCAGGTTGTGGTCCATTAGTCTACTACACAACATTGTAAGGGAGATGCAGAAACTATTGACATTTGAGAGTTCCTTTGAAATGAGTATGTGGTTTGCTAATGTACCAAAAAGAAACATCATGGAAAGTTTGCCTTTCCTTTTTACAGCTTCATCCCATGGGCCTGTTACCTGATGTCACTGCGACTTCACTGTCTCATGGGTAAAAAGAAGGATAAATACTGACATATGTCCCACACAGTCATTGTAAGTACTGAATATGACTTTGCTAATTAATATTTAAGTTGTGATATGAAGAAAATTATTATCATTACACCACTTGTACGTTAAGACTCTGATATAATCATGAAGAATTAAAAGAAAAGCATCAGATGTTGGGGCCAATGAAATGCTTCACCAGGAGAAGACACTCGTCACCCAAGCCTGGTGACCATAGTTCAATCACCAGAGCCCATGTGAATGTGGAAAAAGGAACAGGCTGCACATTGTCATCTTCTTGTCTTTACATGTGCATCATAGCATCTCTGATCCTGCCTGCTTCTGCATACATCAAATACATCTGTGTTTTTGTTATAGACACAATAGAAAGTTTTTTAAAGACCATATTGAACCAGTCAATAGGCAAAACTTTATCAGATATATTATTTATAATATATACATATATATTATATATTCATATATATGTGTATATATAATATATTCATATATTATATATTCATTATATATATATATATATATATATATATGAACCTATTGTTTGTGTGTACATATATGAGTAAGAGCACATGCACAGGTGAAGAGACTAGAGGTGGTCTTCATGTGTCATTCCTGAGGATGTCATTCTCCTTGCTATTTTTGAGATATGGCCTCTTCATTGATCACTGCTTAAAGACTAGACTAGGCTGGTTAATCATCAATCCCTAGAGATCTGCCTCTCTAGTGCTGGAACTATAAGCCAGTACCACAGAGCCATGATTTTAATATAGGTTTCAGAGACTGAACACAGGGCTTGGTGTTTATGAGGTAAGCACTCTACAGACAGAGCTGTCTTCCTGGCCCTTATGAACAGTTTTTCTTTGCACCTCTAATCAACACAGAGCCTATGACTAGGGTTCAGTCAAAGTGCACAATTAAGTTTGTGACCATAGAGCTTACATAGGACTTGGGGAACTCACTCAACAACTGAATATTTATGAGTCCTTCTCCAGTTTTTCTTATCTGTTCATTCACCAGCCATTGTCCTGCCCTTTTCTTGGTGTTCTTATGGTTATTTCTAGTTATAATCAGTTGATCTGTATGGCTACCAGAGTGACCAGAAGTAAATAATACACATCAGGTTTACACTGTGGTAGAAGAACCACCTGTGGTGGAATTCATACTATAAAGTCATAAGGGAAGCCAGCCTGGGAATCAAAGCTGGAGAGGGGGTGGGGCAGAATAGTGCTGAAAGAGCAAGGAAGGGAAGTTGATGAGACCTCTGACTGATGAGAACCTGGAATTTCATCCTAAATAATGGGCCCCCACCCCTTGTGGTTAAAGCCTGGTTTAATTTGCTCTCTTATGATTGGTGACCATAAGACACCTAACTCTGAAGCAGAGTCAAACTGTCCTTGCATACTTTCCCTCTAGGTTTTGATGGCCCAAACATTCCAAGTCATAAATTCTCTAAGCCCAGCAGCCCACTCCTGAGACATGCTAAACTGCCCGATTCCATAGCTGTTTCAAAATCCAACTCAAAAAATATTTTCTAACTAAAGGCAATACCAATTTCCATTACATCAGTAAATGCAGAAATGCCTAGACAAGCAGCCTGATGGTCCATATAGTTCTTTTAAAATAGATTTCATGAATTGTACTAATGAAACCAAATCGTTCCATGATTTATAAGCCTAAGACTGAATGTAGACAATACTCATTGTCATTCTCAAATGTAAATATAAGAGTAGAGGGAATGCTAAAAATTTGAAAATGTATACTATTATCAACTTCCTAGAGATTTCAGGAATTTTTAGAATTAAATGTTTATAAAATATCCACTTTGAATGCATTTTCAAAATTTTATTTTTTTCAATAAAATGACAGTGAAAATTTTACAAGCCTGTATTGAATTTACACATTCAAATGAGGCATTGCCAATAATAAAGGAGATTAATACATTGCTAAAGTTTGGCATTTGACCTTAGGTCAAAAGAGTTAATTTAGCTCTATGAATTACAAAATACTTTGTATTTGGTTCCTTTTAAAGCTTTACTAAAAGTCTGGCCTCTATGGTTACATCAGATTTTGATAGCTTAGTTCACATCTACAGAAACCTTTAAAAATGATTCTGAATATTGCAGGCAAAATATTTTTATTGTAGGCAGTTAATCAATCTGAATATTTGGCTCGATGCATAATAGGTCATGTGGAAAAGGAATCCACAATACTCTTGAATTTCCAGAATCTTGCTTTCTCCCCTCCACCCCCTTTTAGTAATGACATTGAGAGACTGGAATTTTGGGTTGTTTTCTTCCAGATTATAAGAATGAGGCTGTCTGGGAGTTACTTGTAGTTTCCTAGTTGAATGGCAGAACGCACATAGACACATCTGAAGGTGGATGGCTGGATCTCCCAGTACTGGACAGGGTTGCTGAAAAGGCTCACTCCAGAATAAGAAGCCTTTTTGGTGTTGTAGCCAGGTGGGCAGAAGTCATTTGACCCAACTGCGGAGATGTTGTTGTTGTGAAGGTAGACAACCTGCAACATGAAATAGTGGGGATGATTATTCTCTGTATGTTCATTGAGGTTCTTCACATAAACACTAATTTTAATTTGGGTCTTTGGGTAGGAATACATTATGACTCCTCAAAACAAATTTTGTTTACTGCCTTCCTTTCAGAAGTTGCTTTTCTTTCATCACCATGCCCTATCTCTGCAAATTGCTCCTTAATCCTTCAAGATGCTCAGTCTAGGAACATTACAATTACACTTGCACTCAGCTTCCTCATTTATTCTCTATCTCATCATCCAGTTCTGCCATCTGATTTCAAAGTGACTTCATAGAATGGTCCTCCTTATCTGTACTCCCACAGCCTAAGTCTCTAGGGCCTCTTCCTCAACTATTGGTTGCCCCTCCTACTTTCTCCTTTGTTTTTCAAAAGTCCACTTTTCAAAAAAAGTTTATATCCCAAAGGGACTCTAAAACAAAGCAACAACAAGAAGAAATGAGGCCAAAAGTAAAATTAAATAATATTCATGTCACAAAAACAGAAGAAGGGGAAAATTACACTTTGCATTTACCTGGGGTGGGGTGGGGTGAGAATAAAGCAAATTCTCACCAGGGATTTCCCATCCTACAGTCTGATACCATTCTGTTCCAAGTCTGTATCTTATCCTGTCACTGGTCAAGCCCAGTCCATTGTCACACACCTGAAGTAACTTCCCTAAGGAATCTGCAGGCTTGCTACCTTGTTTTCTCCTGACAAACAGGCCTTCTCTTATTAACCCAATCTGCCATTGTTAATTCAGTCCCATCTATCTTTCTTCATAGCAGTTATCACTATGCAGTGTAGTTGGCTTTACTTTTTCTTTTCCAGAGCAAAATATGAATGAGGGATGAAGCTGCTCACTTTGTTCATGGCTACATCTCCTGTACCTGCTATATGGAAAGGAGATAGTCAAGAAATACACCCGACTGAATTATTACACATATTAGATATGCATTTACCATACACTATCTACATGAAAGATTAAACCCTATAGGAAAAACCAAAATATTAAGCTACTTAATAAATATATATAGAAAGAGGAAGTAATAATATAATGGAATGAACAAAAAGAGAAAAATTAATAAAAATAACACAAACTCTAAGGTATATTTAAGTATAACATTTGCAAAGGCAGGATTAAAAGAGGTTTTCCTTTTATTTGTTACTTTGTTTGTTTTCTGAGACAGTCTGTCTGGGTAGCTTAAGTTTTTGTCAAGCTTTTAGTTTTCCTGCCTCAGCATCACACTTCTAGGATTACAAGTGAGTACCAACATAATACTCTGCTAATATTTAATCCACAAACTCTACTATAAAATTATTGAACTTTAATTCATCAAGATGTTTTATAAAACATAATTTATTGTCATGCTTAATACAATGATAATTTGTTCATAAATTTCCTCAGTGTTACTAAACACCAGGATTATTTAAAAACTAAAGAGACATCAACCAGACATCATGAAGTACACCTATAACCCTAACACTTAGGTGATGGGGCATGCTGCTCATGAGTTTGAATAAAGTCTAGGCTATATAGTGAAATAAAGCAAAATATATTTGAAGTTAAGACTTTGGAATACGGTCTTCTAGTGATGATTTGTAATATGCAACCTACAGGGAAATCCATATCTTTGTAGTGTTTACAACACCCTAACTCATATAATTGCTTAAAGGAACAATGGTATAAAGTATTAAAAAGCAGAAAGCAGTGTTGTTAAAAACAAAGCAATAGTTTTGATAATTTGTTTAGGATTCTTACATTTTGAAAATTTATATTGCTATTACTAGTCTCTATTCTATCAGAACTTGTCAACAAAACAAGTAATACTTAGTAATAATTAATAGCTCATGTTGAAAGTGAGAGACTATGTCAAGGAAAATGTCAAGCAATAGACTGTGAACAAGAAGTGGATGCCACATCCTACCAGGTAGTGTTTTCTAACACTAAGGCCAGATAAAAAGTATAAAAGAAAATTATAGTCAAATAAGCATAAATTTTTAAATACTGAATGAAATATTAAGAAACTATTTCACAGTATTCAGAAGGACTGTATACTATTTCCAAGAGTGATATATCTCAAGCATTTAAAACTCATTTAACAACTTATAATAAATTAATTTAATACCATATGTTAGTATATTAGCAAGGTAATATGAAACATTATCTCAACAAGCACAGACAATTTTTGCAAAGAAGAAAATGTTCAAAATTTCAACTAAGCTAGGAATAGAAGGGAGCTTTGTCACTTGATAATGAGCATTTGCAAAACAGCTGTAGTTAGTGTCTTCCTCAGTGGCAAATGTGAACAACCCTGCCTCTTTTAAGACAAGAAAGTTACATCACTTTTATTCTACATTCCACTGCCATTTCTACACAAATAACACAGTAGATGGAAAGCCAAAATGATGGAGATGGAAATTTCAGGGGAAGACACTCTCTCTAAAACTGTGCTGTAGAGGTGGAATGACTATATCGGTCAGTGTCATCTCAGTCCTCATCATAGAATCTTCTTTGTGCGGTAGATGGCAATTAGTACGGAATGTCACAGCTGGTCACAGTGTAGAACATAATGCTCTGTGGCGTGCTCAAGCATAAATACAATATTGACATCATACCCCACCCACTCCCAGGACCCAAGAAACATTGGAGATGAGGGTGTGGAAATGTTATAAGAACCAGAGTTCTGGGAGGAATGTGGTGAAATAGTGTCTTCTGGACACAACAGGTCTGTTTTACTCATGAGAGCACATCAGTTGTGCTTGCCTGCACAGATCAAGCCAGTCAAGATTTCAATATGGAGAAGGGACTTGGAATTAAATGCTTATAAAATATCCACTTTGAATGCATTTTTAAAATTTTATTTTTTTTTGCTTACAACCCCCCACCTAGTTATTGACCATTAATGGTCGCTAGGCAGTGAGAGTCAATTTTCTTTTCTTTTTTTAAATTTACTTTAAACATTTTCAGCCCATATAACTTAGTCACATTCTTGTCCTTCCCAAATTTTCTTGATCCTAGTTTTTTATAAGAATGTGAACATGTTCTACTATATTCCAGTGAATGGTCCATGAATTTATGGACAGCACAAAATGGACTCTGTGTATTATACAGAAAATAAAGAGAGAGACAGAAAGAAAGAGGATAAGATGTTTGTTTGAGAATTTGAGGTGTAGGATATGGACACCAGGGAGTCAGAGGGAGGAAGGATGGCATGCAAATATAATACATATATGCAAAATACCTTGCCTCCTTGCATAAATTTCTCAAAGAGTTAACAATATATATTAAAAGCAAATAAATATAAATTTTACAAAAATAACTGAAGAAGAAATAGTATTGTGAAATCCTTAAGATCTTGAAGGAGAAGAGCAAATAGGATACAGGTACTAAAAGATAGGGAGAAACAGCTGAAAATGCTACTTTCCCAATATGTGTTACTCTGGAATTATTTCCTTAAACTTAACATTCTTCAAACCATAGCGTTTAATTATCTGCCTCTGTGACTCACAGAAAAAAAAAGTATGCTGATTTCAAGCTTAGAGCAGAAACATATTGAGCAAAATTATAGGAAGTAGCATCAAAATAGACAACTGTTTCCTATTGTGTTTCTTTCCTTAATGTTCCTAGTAAAGCCATTCCATGGTCACCATAGGGTATGCCAAGTTGATGACAAAAACAGGAATAAAGAAGGTGAAAGTAGGGACAAAGAAACATAACTAAGCATGATGAAAATCTTACCTGTAAAAAGTATAGCTAGTTTTGTCAAGTCTAAGTCTCCAAAGATATATATATATATATATATATATATATATATATATATATATCAATTATACAACCCCTACTGAAAACAACAAATACTCAAGAAAAAATGTCAAGCTTCTTGCTCACATTATGTCAGACACTTACTAAACCTAGTTAATGTCAAATAACTTGAACTTGATTCAACTAAACAGCAACAAATGGGAGATGAGATGCATGTTGACATTTCTGAGGACAGAACAAGTCAGTCTACCCTGAGTCACCAGAAAAATTTAGATATTGTGTTCCTTTACCTATAAAATATGTCAAAATATTGCTTCTGTGACACAGTGATTGAACTTGACACATATTTCAATGTAAAAGGGTTTTTAAAAAATGAGTGAGGTGGCACACCCCTTTAACCCCAGCACTCAGGAGGCAAATGTAGGTTGATCTCTTGAGTTTGAGATCAGCCTGGTCTACAGAGTGAGTTCCAAGACAGACAGAGCTACATAGTGTAACCCTGTCTCAAACATTTGATCAAAATAAACAAATAAATAAATACATAAATAACAACATTCCCCCCAAAACACTGAAAATAGAAAAATAATAAATAATGATCTGCATAAGACAAATTAAAAAGTACTGGCTTCATGAACAGCTTGAATAAACATTTTTGTTTTAGTTTCTCAAAGTACCACTATAATTTTTACTGTTATTATATGCAATTATTTTTGCCACTACCTAGTAAGCATGGCAATTATTTTCAGTTTTAGAGACACAGAGGCTATTCCCCAATGGACTACTGGCTCCTGTATTCCTATCTTTATCAAGTTGTGTAATTTAATAATTTGTATAAACTTAATACATTGCTTTTATCGGCTGTGAATCTGCTTTAGCTTACAGTTAAAAAATAATTTACTCTATGACACTCATTATGTGCTCATTGCCTTATACAACTGGTATTTGTTATACTGACTTATAACTTCAAACCTGCCTACCTCATAGGAAATATCCATTTTATCACTGAGTTTTATAATACAGTCAAGGTATAGTTCCTTTAACAATTAATGAGTCAAGCATTCTTTCTATACAATAAAACTGTGTATGTGTTATTCAACAATAAAGTTCTTTTTTATGGAGTGACTTGAATTTTGTATCCTCCAAAATTCATGTTTTAAAACTATCATCCCAATAATGTGGCATGGGGGGGGGGTGGGCCTTTGGAAAGTGACCAGTCTCAAATGGGATTAGTGCCAAGAAGACACTCTCTTTCTGTCATGTGAAACTAAGAGCTGATATCAGGAGTTCACTATCTGGGTGAGACCCTCATCAGAACCTAGCCAGGCTAGCACTCTGATATTAGGCTGTGAATATTCTCAAGTCCCTGGAGAAGGCTACAACACTGAAAACTATTCCCAAGGAGAGTTCCCTTCCTCCCACAATCACAGTAGGAAATTCCGCTCCAGATGGTCCTCATAAGTAGGAATGGCCTTGCATCACCTGGATGTACTTATGCTCCGCCAGCCCACCAGGCACTCTGATGAGTTTGTTGTTGTCCAAGTGGAGTTCCCTCAGATGAGGAGTGTTGGCCAGAGTACCATTGTCTATGGCAGAGATACTGTTGAAACTCAACCCCAACCTGCAGAAAAGAGCAGATATTGGTGTGCACAGCAGTCAGGAATCCCTTTCATATCGGCTGTAGGAAATTGAGAATTTGGTAAGACATCCCTTGCTTTTGCATGAACTATTCCTCTCAAGTGTTTTCTTCAAACATTTCTGAGTCTTGACAGAAACTATTCCTTTCTCTCTCTCTCTCTTTCTCTCTCTCTCTCTCTCTCTCTCTCTCTCTCTCTCTCTCTCTCTCTCTCTCTCTCTCTCTCTGTGTGTGTGTGTGTGTGTGTGTGAAGATGCATGAGCATATATATCTATATATGGGTTCAGAGGCCAGATATAGACACTGGTTATACTCCTTCATAATTTTTCAACTTAGTATTTGAGACAGTCTTTTACTAAACCTGGAATTGTCAAAACTATTCAGTCAGCAAGCTCCAGGGATCCTGCTGTCTCTTCCTTACAGGGCAAGTGCCACTGGAATCTAGACTCAGGTATTCACTATTGTACCACAATGACTTCACCAGCAGAACTATCTCTATCACCCCCCAAAGCCTATTCTCAGCTCAGCATGACCTTTATCAAGACTCCTGGATGGATGGATACCTCTAGTAAATATTCTTCCATGGTATTCTGAGATCATCTTGGAAAATATAAAAGGCAGTGCTATGACTTAACCACTTGTATGCCTCTCCTGTGAAATAGCAACTGTCTTGTAGTAAATCTAGTCCTAACACAGCATACAATTTGATGTAGTCCACAAGTAACCATGAATTAATTTCTACATATAATAATCATACAAATTCATTTGGTAAAGAACAAAAGGAAATAGCGGGAGCCATTTAGCCACTTTGGAAATGATGCATTTGTTCATTTATCATATACATCTATCTATTCATGGAAAATTAAAGGTAAAACATTCTGAAATGTCAGTAGCCTACTTTCTAGAACCATAAGTAGAATTAGTGTGTGGTGATAGATAAAATAAAGTTCTCCAGTTACCCTTTAGTGGCACTCTGGATCAGCTTGCTATGAGCTTCACTCCTTCCTACTCAGACAGCTGACTCTCTGCTCTGTGTTTTGTAAGTCTCATTTGGTTGAAGTCTAGGTTCATATTTCTTATATTAAAGGCATAACAAATGAGGATTCTATGTTATTAATGGGATTCTAAGCAAGAAGAATTTGACTTGAAGGCATGACTAATTCATTAAACATGCTAGGGATAAAACCACACAAAGCAGAAAGAAGTTGATCCATAGGGCAGATACCAGTATGAGGCCACAGGATAATGAAAGAGCTCTAACAGCTGCAAGGAGGGAGGAGACTGTTTATCAAGTGTCTTAGCATGCAAAGGGCTGGTCTGAGGATAGCAGAATGATTTGCTTAGCCTTCAGGTAGGTCCAAGGCTTGAGTCCACTAGAACTCAGATGCTGTCATTATGTAAATAAAGTCTCCTAAGTATGATCCTGGCTTTATTTTTAAATAATGGCTAAAATATGCACATTTTGTATGAAAAGAATCACTGGTTATCTTAGCAGCTGATTATTAACTTGGCATCTTGGCTGAGAACATTTAGATTTCCCTTTATTTTAGATGCTCATATATTATGTATGGTCTTCTCTTTTTTTTTTTACTTCATAATTTTGTCTCCTATATCTTGTGACACTCCAAGTCCCAATTATCAATTTTGCAGTAGACTGTATCTTAGACTATACAATTTCTAACAACTTTTCAAGAATAATATTATTTTAAAGTACTTGTTTATACAATCAATCAATAGGTGTTTTTGAGAATTTGTATTTCTCCAAGGATTAAAATGAACAGTGACAAACCTCAAAAAGCATGTTCACCATTGAAAGTTAATTCTACTAATAAAGGGCATGACATAAATGTCTATGTATGCCATATATATGCATATATATATATATATATATATATATATATATATATATGTCTTCATGTCTCTAATAATCATTTATATTTTGTACTTCAGAAGAGGGATTTGCAGTAAGTTTTCCCAACACAGTCCTGATAATAAACTGGAAATCTCTCATGAAAAGAAGTTCTTGGTCTCTTTTCACAGGTTTTATTTTTTTTTTAATTTTCAACACTAACATATTTACTGTGTTCAAGTATCACTGAATAATAAGGAACACAGTTATTTGATGGTTTAATAAAGAATTTACTCTGGATTTGATTCCAAAAGAAATGGATTAGGTACATTCAAGAATTGGGAAACTTGACCCTACAGATACAGTAATTAAATGAAATTCAGAATCCACTTACCAAGAAACATGACTTTTTATTAGCCTTTTTATAATTTATTAGTACTTTAAGCTTTTGTGTAAGACAGCACATGTCATCAGTATCAAGGTTTACAATGCCAGAATCCTGTTACTGATTTTCATACAAGACAAACATCTTTTCTAAAGAAACACATATATTATGAATGATTTGTCATTTTTAAAGGTTTAAAATATTTTCCTCTTATACTACTGCTATTAATCATTATCATAGTAATAATATGAAAATAAGATCCTAATGGCAAATATATGTAACAAATAATACAATTTATCTGCTTATATACTTCTGCAGCTAGAAGGAGTTAATCAACAAGGAAAGATTGGTGATGCATAATGTAAAATACTTTGAAGAATAATTTTATATCAGAAATTGGTTAAATTTTTCTACATGGAGTATTTCTTATTATTTCTGACACCAGGGACACATATAACTATATTCACAATATTGTATTTATTCTTTCTCTTCACCATGAACTGGGTCATTTGGAGACTACACATAGAAACAGGAAAAGGTGCCTAATGTATTGACTTGGTTACTGACATCTCTCGAGGCTAAAGATATATGTCCCATATATTCATTCATCTATCATGTTGACTTGGCATAATGTGACAGGCAAGCATGCACCCTACAAGACTATTCCTCTGTATGCATGTCAAGGAAGTATTCCTTGAAGACTCCTGAATAAACTCATTAGCTTACTTTTTCTATTAAATACAGAAGGGATATGAAACCCAGTTAGAAAGCAGATGTACAAAGAAAAATATACAATTAGGCAGGGCCAAAAAATTGTTTTTCTTTTCTGAGTCTGCAATAAATGTGTAATGACATTTTCTTTAAGTCCTTTAGAGAAGAGACGTTGGATAATTTCTTTGTAGTTATTCAGAAAGTAATATTTCTATGTCCTTAGATGCCATTTGAATACATTCTCAATTTTGGATTAACTTGTTAGAGTTTCCTTAACTTTCTCTTTGATGACACTAAATTAGAATATATTAAATGGACATTTAAAACCTGTTTTCACTGAGCACCTTTACAAAATATTTACAAACAACAAAATATCCACAAAATATGTTATCAATCTTATTGTCTATACTAATTATTATATTTCACTGACTTTTGTCAAGAATTTGTCATGTTAGCTGGAATTTCACTTCAAAACATATAAGCTGAGATAGTTTATAAAATAGGTAGAGCATTGTGTGTTTCAAGATGGATGACACGCCCCCTCATCATTTTGGTAGGAAATACTGAATTATCTTACTTAGCCAAATTAGTCAGTCCTTTCAGGCTGGATGCATCAACTTTGGTGATTTTGTTTCCATCCAGATGCAATTCAGTGAGAGAAGGAGGGAGACCTGGGATGGGCAAAAAGATGCTAATTCAGCCAACAAGCATTATAAATAGAAAATCTCTTTCAATGGGGACACATATGGTCAATTTCTAAAAGACATTTCAAATAATTTTGGTCTTGTCTTTTGCCTTCTTTCTTTTTATAATAAAAAATACACACTTTAAAGTGATGTGCTTCTTTACTGCTTTTATCTCAAAGGGACTTAGATATAATAATGAACTCTTTACATCATTTGACAGATTTTTGTGCTGGCAACTGTAGAATGGAAGTCAAACACCAAATATCTCATTGTTCTTTCCACCGGTGTCAATGGGTTCACATATTGTTGTTATATGATGTCAAGACAAACTAAGGAGGTGAACACTGGAACTGAAATGGAAGGATCATGTATCCCTGTATCTTTTAAGTCTGTATATAAATGTAAACAGGTATTTCATTTACAAGTATTATTCATAACTAGCACTAGTGTATTGTGCTGGTGTTGGTCCTTAGACTTGACTTCTCTGAGAGAGCATTTGATGCCTCTGCACAATGGCAATGCAGCAATAGCTAGAAGTTAAAATGTAAGTGGTTCTCAATCTTCCAAATGTTACGGCACTTTAATACAGTTCCTCATGTTGTGTTCACCCCAAATCATAAAATTATCTTCATTGCTGCATCATAACTGTTTTCTTCTGTTATGCATTGTAGTAAAACATCTGTGTTTTCCAATTATCTTAGGTAACCTCTGAGGGACATTGCTACCCACAAGTTAAGAACCTCTGGCTTATCTGACCCTATTAAAACCAGATTGTTTTTGTTGTTAAGAGGGATGTGAAGAGCCCTATAATCAAGTAACCTGACATATGTAGAGCACCTGGAAAAATAATATAACATCCAAAGGGCCCACTAATCTACCAAAATATGTCTTTAATGGTTGTGATTTCCAAAGACTTAGTAATGTAAATACTAAGCAGTATTTGAATTTACTTTCATTTCTCTGTGTTGTCTGGTGTTTATTTGGGACTATGTGTTTATATGGCTGATAATAATGCAGTGTTCCACTGTAAAGAATAACAACAGCTACAAAGAAAATAGGAAATGGATGCATGTATACCTAGTACTGGGTTGAAGCAAGTTTTACTTTTCTTTGTCTATAAGGACAAAGATTTCATTGCTAAGAAATTACAACCTCCAAATTATGTTAATGATTGTATTTATTGCAGTATGTCTTATATGTTGGTTTTAAAATATTATGTTTCTTCATAGATGAATGCTTTGAGTAGCAAATACTATGAAAATGTAAATAAATAAATAAATAAATAAGCTTTTATTTGTTCTGCTTCTGTTTTTATCAAACATTGACCATGTTACTTTTGCCAACTACATTATTTTTCTCAATGTGCAAAATGATGAATATCAATGCCTTTTCTTAGTAACCAAACAGACACTCAAAGTTATAAATTTGTAAGTTTTAAAGAGGAAATGTTCTGTGCTCCCATCTGGACAGGGGAATTTAGAATAGCATTCTCTAAGCCAGAGGAAATTAAATAATAATTGAATTTTTCTCATGAATAAATATTAGGAAATCTCGACTACTTTTGTAATAAGACATTTTAACCACGAGAGTCTTCTAGACAAACAAATAAAAATTAGCAGTCTTCCTGTAAGTGCAACAAGAGTGTATTTAATAAAGCAAATTTGAGATACCTCATTCCTTCCTTCTCTAACTCAATGAAGTTTTGTTGTATGTATGTATGTATGGACACATGTATGCTCCTAACTATCTCAATGGTTATTTACTAGAGTACCAAACAACCATCTCTATAAAAAGCCTGGAGGAGGCAGGGTTAGAAGAAAGCTTTCTGTGATGTGAAAGTAGTGAATGTTTCCTGTAGAAATTTACACCTAGTACCCAGTTCCACAGAAAGACACCTGTGTTGAAGAGGGCAGGAGTGAGGGGTAGGTGGGAAATATGGAGTGACTTTGAGGCAGAAGGAAAGTGAAATTCAAGGCACTTCTGTCAGGTGTTTTTCTGCCTTTGCCAGTTCACTAGGACAAGACTCTGTGTGACAGCAGAGGCTGCACTGATGACAGTGATCACCTTTCAACCTTCTGGCTCTGGTTGTCTTGAGGAATAGTCTCTTACTCACTATGTCTCTAGCATACACTATGTGAGCATGATACTTTAATACATTTTCACACAATTAAAGAAGGTAATATTACTTTCCTGCTTTTCTATACTCACATATTCTACTTAATTTGAGGCCACAACCCTAAGACATTGAGATTTCTTGAGCCAATTAATGACAACTTGAGCCAAAGCAAAGATTCTACATTCCTTCCTTTTTAAAGAAGTCTACATTCTTTACGATAACCAAGATTAAGCCATCAGCTGGATCTGCCTATTGAGACCCTGTTTAATGGAAAGTTTCACAGTAAAAAGAATTTCCTATAGGATTAGAAAAATCAAAGCAAAATTTATCTGTTACAGAGATACTGCCACGTATGAGCACTTTATTTCCTTTTACTTTTTTAAACAAAATACTAATGCTTTCTTTAGGAAATCATGAATGCATAACACGAACTTACTGCATCTTAAATTACATCTTAGAAGAGACTTTATAGGGATTCTATCTGTGCCTTGCATGACCCAATAGTCAACTTTGCCCAAAAGAGCCAACTCCAGGAATTGAGAGTTCACTGAACATAGGCTTGCCGCATGTGTTCCAATTTAAATCTCCACAATCATTTTTCTAAATGTCAATGCTGTTGGACTTTTGTTTTTCAAAACATTTTGGAGAATTTTTTGTCACCTTGAGGAATAGCAGTGATGTTGGTGTCTGCAATTCGGATGTATGAAAGTCTCTTCATTCCCTGGAAGGCTCCGCTTTCAATGCCAGAACTTTTCAGTGGGTTGGTGCCCAGTTCTACAAAGATAGAAAGTGCAAGGCTATTAGAGGACATTTTACAATGTCTGTATCTGCTTCAGTGATGATTCTAGAAGAAAAAATAGCTTTTAATAGCTTCTTGACTGAGAAACAAATGAAAGTATAGGAGAAAACTATGCTCTTAAGAGAAACATGAAAATTAGATGAAACTTTGTCCTAATAAAACTAGGACTTGTATAATGGAATAGGCAACAACAGGCAGGAGCCTCAGGCAGGAAGGTCACACTATTCAAGGGCAGATTGGGCTATACAATGAAACCCTGTATGAACGAAGGAATGAACCAAACAAGCAAAACAAATGTTTATGAAAAAACAATAGCCATGGCACTACTTATAATTTCCCCAGAAAAGCTAAGCTAGTGTTAATAAATAATACACTTTACTACAAATTTCCTAAATACTGTTTAAGAATTTAAATATAACATTTTGCAAGCCAATTTTAAAATCACATCTAATAATCACACACACCCACCAAAACCTTATGAAACAGTTTTAGAAAGGAATTAATCCACAAATGGTCAGAACACAGGACAACTCCCTTGTGGAAAGGTTTATCCCCAAATCCCTCTGATTAAGCATGGTCCATTCTACATCTTGCTCATGTGACCAGGTATAATATCTTCCTTTAACATTCTCAGATGACCAAAATCCAGGAAGAATGTCCCCTTTCTCCTGGAGCTGTAACTTCTGTTCACACAGCCTTCAGACACCCAGGACTTTGGCTCATCACCCCCTTTCAGCACCTAAGGATTACTTGAAACCCTTTCATTCTCCCTAGGTCCTGGTCCTCGAGCTATAATCAAATCTGTACCTATGACAATCATCTGGTTCAGTCCATTGAACACGGTTTTCCGCACTTTGCTGATCTCATTCTCATGGGCACGGAGCTCCTGAAGGGTTTTGGGCATTTTTTCAGGCAGTTCCTTCAGTTGGTTCTTAGACAGATAAAGCCTTTCCAATTTTACTAGAGGTGTAAATGCCCCAGAGCTGATCTTGTTGATCTTGTTGTTGACAAGAATCAAGGTCTGCAAAAATTGAACAACACAGAGAATTGAATAACACAGACAAATTTGCAAAATCACAAAAATTCAGAAGCAATGTGGAAATCTGCTCCTTTAGTGCGGATATGTGTGTACACATATTAATAAATTTTATTTTAAATAAATGATGCTAAAGAAATCACTGAAAGACACCAGATCCCTAAATACCATCAATGCCACAGATTTCACCCCGAATCATCCTTTCTGCTTAAGGCACAGCTTCACTGTTCGTCAAGAAGTGGGCTTAGGTTACACTATCATTAGAACTGAAAATCAGAATGTAGCTGGAGTAGGTGACTAAAGAGAGGAGAATCTATTGTCATCCCTACAGTAGAAGGCTTCAGGGAGACATGCTTCGGTCTCCTCTAACTTGGGTTTACTTTTTTCCTGCTGTGCCCTGTGTAGAAGAGACCTGTCAAATTGAGGAGGAAGCTTGGTTTGACTTTAGTGACATGATACCACTTCTAAGGCAGGCTTTGTCAATTTGGAAGCTGTGTTGAGCAAGTTGGGAGCACTATTGAGCTATTTGGAGCATTTGCCATGGGATGGAAAAGGGTTGGGGACTCTTTTGAGCCATTGCAGCTCTGTAGAGTCATTTCAAATAGAGACAATAGTGCTTTGTTCAAAAGTAATTTCCATAATGATGAAAAAAATGAAGCTTTACTAGTTCTGAACCCTCTATCAAATATTGAAACTGACTAATGTTTTGTAAACTTGAGGTGATTTCTAAAACAGTAATGGGCAATAAATAGTCTCTATTGATGGTGCTCCTGAAAAGAAAACTTAGCCATTTAAGTTTTGCTTTTCTGTTTTAAATTCATTGTGCACCAATAATCATGATTGGCATGCTTTTTAAAAAATAATATATGAATGTGTGTATAAATGTGCTTAGGGTCATCTTGGAAGATATAAGAGCAATCATTTCTGTGTCTTTTTAAACCTAAAATCCAAGGATTCTGAGAATTTTCCCAACATAATATATTGATTATTGAGTATTTCAGGGTTTCATATCTTGCACCATAAACACACTCACTTCCAAGTCCTCCAAAGTCTGTCCCTCCATCCTGGTCACCCCCCAAAAAAAAGAGAAAAGAAGAAAAAATTGTCCAATTTGTGTTATTTACAGAAAAAGAAACTGGACTCAAGACTATCCATATCTAAACTAATTGAAATGATAATTTTAAATTTTTCCTTAAAATGACTTGAATTCGCTGCTTTCATATGTTAATTTTCAAAACTGGCTGGCAAAAA